TTAATATGCAATGGCTTGTGCCTTTCATTTCTGTTAGTCAAAATCGACACAATTCTTGCTGCATTTAACCAGGTGCTTAAAGTGGCAAGATCCTTTCTGCAAAACATTTTTAATAATATCTATTCTTAGATGAACTCCAGTTAAGGGAAAGAGTATGTACTAAAAGTAATCTTCAAATCCATTAGTATGCTGTCTACAAACATTTTCTCCATGGGGGACATACATCATTGTGCCCTTATTGGCTTCAGTTTTTACTTACTGGCTTCTCTTCTGTCCAGTATTTTTAACTGTCCCACTGTTACCTTAAATACAATAGGACTTGAGTTAGTTTCATCATTTCTTCAGTCTTTTTGTTTTCCACATTCTTGTTCTGCACAGGTTGCCTGTGTCTTCTTCTAAGGCACCTTGTTCTAACCACCTTGACTTAGAGTCTTTGAATCTTCTTTGACTCTTCTGCATTTATTGATCACACATCCCATGAGTTCCTAGAACTGAATTCTACTTCCATTTTTTTCAACATACTTTTACATTTTTTTCTCAGCCTCTTTGCTATCACTTTTTTCTAGATTGCTTCAAAAACACTAGCTGGTTGTTTTGCTTTTACTTTTACCTTCTGCCCAAGCTGCCCTTCAGTTAGTCTTCCTATGTGTGGCTTCACTTTGCTCCTTTTCTGCTTGAAGCGGCTCCTTGTCATCCTGAGAGTAGGACACCCTGGCTCTTGGGTTAATTTTGTCAAGCTTTGTCTCTTACTGCTCCTTAACACAGATCCTCTCTTGGACTAGGCTAGTCTTCCCCTTGCCTTACCCTTATATAATAAGAAAAAAATAGGGTATTGGAAGGGACAAAGCTTAAAAATAAGTGTTTACCTTTTTATTCAGAAGTTTCAAGCCTCTCTAAGTAGAGTAATACAACGAGCTGCCGTGTGTCTTATCTGCCTCTTCAGTAACTATTAACATCAGCCTCTTGCCAGTCTTGTCTTATCTATCCCCATATCCCCCCACTTTGGGGGGGGGTGTGCTGACAGTATTTTAAAGCTAATTTCAGACATCATTCACCTGGAAGTATTTCCGTATGCATCTGTAAAAGCTATCTATCAGTTTACCTAGTGCAGGTCTACTCTGTGATGGTTTCCCTGTCAGTTGGTTATTTAGGCTTGTTTACACACTTTTGTTGTTCAGATCAACTCATTCCATTCTGCCTCCCTATCATTTCTCCTCCGAAGGTCCGGCCACCCCTGTTAGAACTATACTACAGCTATTAGGATATTTAAAGACGTTGACATATGTTATTTTTGGTACCCGTCACAGCACACATAGCACAATTTGAACATATAGTAGACATGTGATAACTTTTAAATAGGGACACTTGGGGTTCAGATCTTTGACCTAGGTTTTATTTGCACTGGTGGAATTTTCAGCTACAACTTTTTTTTACCAGACATTTTGGTTTTATGTTTTTAGATTAGCAATAGCTTTGAAAGAATTGGGGATTTGGCTTTAAAAATCAGCTTTGAGGTTTTGTACACTTAAAACAATAATGTTTTTGGCAGACTGGTTATCTAAAACCTACTTGGAATTATTTTCAATTTATCTTTTACTTAGTTTTCTTTTTCTTTAAAGCTTTTTAGTGCGTTAATAATACTACTTTTTACTTGTGTACACCAGTATTTGTCAAAATAAAGTTTTAAAGCCTGGTAATTTTTTTTAAGTTCTATTTTTTATTATGAAAGTGACTCATCTTGGGGAAAAAAATTGGAGAAAAAGGCAAAGTATACACACAACTCAAGTTACTCATAAATTTACTACCCAGACTACTTTTAACATTTGGTGTCTGTCTTCTAGTCTTTTTCAGACATTTTTATGTGTTTGTATACACAGAATAATTAAAAAAAAATTATGTCGCTGCCGTAGCCTTGGGCCATAATAGCAGATGCTCGTGTTCTGTTGTTTGTTTGTTAAATCTGGCCTGTAAACAAAGTCAATGAACCAGGCTTCATTCTGGTTGTAGTGCTAGTGGCATGGTTTGTCAGTCGTTGTTATTTTAACTGTAAGTACTTGTTGGGGGCAGAAGAAATCAGGGTATTAATTATTATCAGGTAAACGGGGCTAACAGCTTTGTATCAGCTTGACAGCATTTTAAAATTTTGGACTTGAGATTTTCAGAAGTTGATGGGTTCTCTATGCTATGTGGAAGATTGGGTTCTGATACCACATGCTTTTATTTTCCCATCTCGGTGAGATGAGAGTTTCTTATAGCTACGGTAATGCTCATGCAAATTCTGTTTCTCTAGGGCCTAGCACAGAATAGATATTTAACAGATTATGCCAAATGTGACTTATTTTTGCTGTGAGCAAGGAGTGGTGTGGAACACACATGTTGTCTGTACATTATTGTTAGTTGTCTGTTGTTATTAAGCATGTTATCTCAAAATTTAGCACCTTAAATAACAAACATCTGTTTTCTCACACAGTTTGTGTGAACCAGGAATCCAGAAAGAGTTTAGCTGGGTGGTTTTGGTTCAGAGTCTGAGTTGGCAGTCATCTGGAGGTTTAACTGAGACTAGAGGACCCACCTCCAAGGTGGTTCATTCACATAACTATTAGCAGGAAGTTTCACTTCCTCACCAGATAGGACACTCAAGCAGCCCTGTGCTTGAGTGTCCTAACAGTGTGGCAGCTGTCTTCGCCCAGGGCAAGGAGAAAGATCCAATGCCTTTGATGGCCTGCCCACTGACATTTCCACTTTATCCTGTTTTTAGGGGTGAGTTACTACTTCTAGCCCGTGCTTAAGGAGAATGAAATTAGGCCACAACTCGAAAGAAGGAGTATCAAAGAATCTGTTGGACATATTTTAAAACTACCACATGCGTTGAATACATAAACTTCCAATTGATTGACAGTCAACATTAAGGTGACCTGACTCCAGTGAGCTACAGTTTTAATATGCCCTTGGATTAATTCTGATACACTAAAATTTGAGAGTCACTAACCTAAAAAAGTAGAAAGAGATAACCATGTTCATGGATCAAAGGACACAGTGTTTTGATGTATCGTCTCTGCAAGTTGTCCTACGAACACAAACTCCTAGCTGGCTTTTTTTTTTTCTTTAGGAAATCAACCAACTAAATCTGAAATTCATATGGAAATACAGAAGACAGAATAGCCAAAACAATTTTGAAAAGGTACAAAGATAAAGTACTTATATTATCTGCTCTCAAAATTACTATGGAAGAAAAGCTCTACTTTGAAGTTTTAGGAGTTAATATACTCTGTGTTGGGGTCTAGTAACAGATCTACAATTTTGTGGTCACTTCATTTCCAGTTAAGAGGCCAAAGGCAGTTCAGTGGGGAAAAGGCAGTCTTTTAAAAAAACAAAACAAAACGGTGCTGTACGTCATTATAGATTTAAAAAATGTTCCCTGCCTCTTACCTCTGTATAAAACTCCTAGAAGAAAGAATATTCACAATACTCAGGTCTAACCAAAAAATTGTAATGCATGATATATAAAGAACTCGCGGTGGTGATGGTGTAGTTGATAAGTTGTGTCCAACTCTTTAGCAACCCCACGGACTGTTGCCCACCAGGCTCTTCTGTCCATGGTATTTCCCAGGCAAGAATACTGGAGTGGATTGCCATTTCCTTTTCCAGGGGATTTTCCTGACCCAAGGATCAAACCCTCACCTCCTGCATTGCAGGGGGATTCTTTACCGCTGAGCCACCAGGGATTCAGATAGAGAACACAGTCATAAGGCAAACAAGTTTTTTAAGTGGAGAAAAGACTTGAAGAGATACTTTACCAAAGAAGATATGAGTGGGCAGTCTGCATATGAAAAGATGCCCATCATTTAATCAGTGAACTGGATTAAAACCACAGTGAGATACCACTGCATACCTGCTAGAAGAGCTGAAATTAGACTGATTTTATTAGATGTTGGTGAGAATTTGTAGTAGTTGGAACTCTAATCCATTGTTGTTTGGACTGTATAATGGTATAATCACTTTGCAGTACAGTTTCGCAGTTTCCTGTAAAGTAAAACATACACTTACAGGTGACCCTGTAACTTCATCATTAAGTATATACCCAAGAGAAATTAAAACATGTCTATACAAAGACTTGTATGTGAAAGTTCATAGCAGATTTATTCATAAAAAAGCCAGTGCCTGAAAATAGCTCAAATGTCCCTCAGCAGGTGAATGGATAAATAAATGCAGTGTATCCCAACAGTGGATTACCATTCCAGTAAAATCTAACCAACTACTGATATATCCAACAACATGGTTGAATGACAAAAATATGTTGAGTGAAAGAAATCAAACCCAAAAGAGGATATCCTGTAGTTCCATTTATATGAAACTAGAAATTTAGATAAATCTAATCTATTGCGTTAGCAGATCAGTGGTTGCTTCAGGCTGGAGGTAAAAATGGGGATTGACTAGGAGTGGGCACAAAGGAGACTTCCAGAGATGATGGAAATGTTCTAAATTTTGATTGTGGTAGGGATTATGTCTGTGAATATGTCTGCTGGACTTACTACTCTGTATCTTTGAAATGTATCTTGCTCTGTAGAAATTATACTTCATTAAAGTTGATTTAAAAACTTGTATCTCTTAAGGTTTGGATTCTCCACAAGTTATATAGATAACCATCTGATCTTGAGAGGTGGTGTTCAAGATTTATCCTTTGAATCGTTTATGGCTTAGTTTTCCTGGTACCAGGTCTAGGGAGAAGAACGCCAAACTGTTACCTTCTTTTACAGTAGAATTGGCTCCCCCTTCTCTTCGTGCTTATTTTTAACATATCTTGGTTTTAGAGGTAGGGTAATGGGATGCCTTGTCTGGGCTGGTTTGTGAAGTCTTTTTCTCCAATGGAATATGCTCTTATAGATGGCTACCATGCCATTTACGTCCTCGTCATTGGCCTTCTTGACCAGCTCATCACGGTAGATGGGCAGGAGATAGCTCATGACTCCTTGTAACTGACTCATCTCTTATGGTTGCAGATTCTCATAAACACAAAGATAAGCATAAAGATCGAGAACACCGGCACAAAGAGCACAAGAAGGACAAGGAGAAAGACCGAGAGAAGTCCAAGCACAGCAACAGGTAAGGGCTGAACCTTCAGGCCCCTCCACCTTCAGGTCCATCGTTGTTCAGGTCCCTCCTCATTCAGGTCCATTGTTGTTCAGGTCCCTTCTCATTCAGGTCCGTCGTCATTCAAGTAGGCTTGGCTTACTTGGAATAGGCCTGAACTTGAACCACAGGTAAATACATGGATGACCTTGATGATTCAGGCCTTACTGGGGATGCCATTGTTCATTCAGATCAGAATGTCCAAAGCAAGTATGGTAAATTGTTAACACAGGATGGCATTTCATCCAGTGTCCAGAGAACTTGCTTTGATAAAAGGTGACTGGATTGGAAACTTGATAGATATAGATTGATATTTTTCTTCTTTCTGTACTTTAAAGGGTTTAAGTTTAAAAATTCTTAACTTAGGCTTCCATGGTCTATTAGTCCCTGAAATCATATACAAAAGGTTGGATATATGAGATATTCCTGAAGAGACCATTCCTAGCTTTCATCAGTTTACCAGAGGGTGTCAGTTCTCACAGAAGCCAGTGTCACCAGTGTAAATGAAACTCAGAGGTGTTGCCCTCTGGGATCCAAGAGGGATCAGAAGGGTGTCTTCTTGTGCATTTTGCCTCCTTTTTTTGGTGTAGGTGGCAGGTGGTTAAGCCCAAAGACAGGGTATCTTTAGGTGTACGGCTGCTTATTGAAAATGAGGACTTAAACTTCCATTTTGAGTTAAAGGCAGTTGTTGGGGGAAAGCCATATGATATTCCCATAATTGTCTAAATTCTGTGGGAGGGAACTTAAAGCACAAGTGCCTTCAACCTAGAGTCTCTTAGAACTACTTCATTAGGTCGGCTTATTGTCTATAGACAAAATATTTTTAACATAAATATATGGTCAAAAGTTTTTCTCCAGTATATACAAAAATCTACAAGTAAATAAAAATGAGACAGATAATCCAGCAGAAAAATTCATGAGAGGATGGAGCAAGCTCTTCATAAAAGAAGATATCCAAATGGCCACTGGAAACACTAGAAGGTGCTCAACATCATTCATCAGGGAGTGCTCGCTTTGGCAGCACATATACTAAAATTGAAATGATACAGAGAAGATTAGCATGGCCCATGTACAAGATTGACACGCAAATTTGTGAAGCATTCCATATTTTTATGCCTTATCAACCCAAATATTAACTGATAGCATTTCTTTCTACTAAAATTCCAAAATATAAATAGGTTCACAGGAATATGTGCTGTTGTACAAACACAAGACCAGTTTAAGAATTTAAGAAAGAATAAAATGTACCAACATAACAAAATTTTAAAAAAATACATTCATCACGGAAGTGTAACTTCAATATAACATCCTATGCAATGTAATAATAGCTAATTATTAAAATAATGCTAATTCTAAGACCTTCAAATGATGTGGAACAGTCCCATGTCTGATGGGACTCTAAATTGTTGAATCATTTCGTGAAACTACTTAGCTGTGTCTTCTAAAATTAACATATGTATACCTTGTAACCTGAGAATTCCATTCCCGAGTATATTCGCAACAGAAATGTGTGTATATGGGCACCAAAGGGCAGGTAAAAAGCTATTTAGAGCTGCATTGTTTTTAATAACCCCAAAGTAAAAATCTCCCAAATGCCCATTAGTAGTAAAATGGATAGTGTGGTATATTCATATTATATCTTAGGATACTATATATAAATAAATATGAAAGTAATAAACATAGGTGAATTCCACAAACCTATGTTGAATGAAGAAAACTGGCCAAAAAATACATAGTGTATGCTTCAATTCGTTTGAGACTGAAAAACAGAAAAATTAATCAAGACCTTTAGAATGCAGGGTCATAGTTATCTTTGGTGAGGAAGGAAAGGTAGCAGTTGTAAAATGGTATGAGGGGTACTTCTGGTGTGGTATCAGTGGTATTTTTCTTGACTTTTGTGGTAATCACATTGTAGCTTTATTTTGTGATAACTCTTTGAACTCTGCATTCTATATATATGCTACTTTTATTTTTAAAAATTATTAAAAATAAGGCTTATCATGGAAAAGGCATGATAAGGTGAATTCTTTCTGTCTTTTTATAATCATTAAAAAATTTTAAATGAAAATTTTAAGGGAAGAAGTCTTTATGAATCATTAAAATAACCAGATTAATTTTCTGTAGTGAGGATGTTTCTTCAGGAATCATCTACCACTCCTGTGGTCTTTCCCCACAACTTGCTCATTTTTTATCACTTGATTATCTAGTTTCCATTAGTCCAGTAAATTTAGTCTTAGTACTAATAGTTGAATCCACTTCACATGCACCTTTTCTTCAGTTTGTAGTCATCTACCTAATATTAATATCTATGTAGATGTGAGAGCAAAGATTATTGCCAGGAATAAAGAAGTTCATTTCATAATGATAAAGAAAGGGACTAATTAATCAAGAGGACGTAACAGTTACAAAGCTTCCCTGGTGGCTCCGCCTGCCAGTGCAAGAGAGCCAGGTTCAGTCTCCTGCCTCAGGAAGAGCCTTGGAGTAGGAAATGGCAACCCACTCCAGTTATTATTGTCTGGAAAATTCCATGAACAGAGGAGCTGGGCAGACTGTAGAGTCCATGGGTTCACAAAGAGTTGGGACACGAACAGTAGCAAAGAATATGAACAGTTATAAATGTTAATATAATCAGTTATAACTGATATCAGAGTCTCAAAATAGATGAAGTGAAAACTGTTAGAATTGCAAAGAGAAATAATATTTACAGTTAGATTTTGCTACCTCTTTCTCAATTGATGGGAAAATCATCAAGGATATAGAAGACTTTAAACATCATCAACGAGCCTGATTTAATTGACATTTATAGAATATTATACTCAGCAGTAAAATACACATGGAACATTCGCCAAGGTACACCATGTTCTGGGCTGAGGCCTTGAAACTAACTCCCCCTGGCTTTCCACTTTTCTGTCTACCTTTTTCATTTCTCATTCCAGATTGCAGAATGATTCTCTAAGTCTGGCTGTCTTTCTCTGCTGCATCTCTTGTGATTCACCCTTCTTTCACCTTCCATTTCTAGTCTCCCTTAACTGCTTTTCTGTTCCTCAAAACACAGAGTGTCTTCTGAATACCTCTAGGTTTTCAAATATGCTGTTACTGGTTCTGGAAGACTCTGTCGCCCTCCTAATAACATTCTTTTAGTTGCAGCTTAGAGTTCTTCTTTCGAGTATCTTTTCTGCCTCTCCCCCGCCCCCATATTAAAGTACCATTTTCAAGGGTTCTCTGGCACCTTGAATATATCCCTCTCACAGCCGTTACCAAGTTGTGGTGGTGTTGTAATTCTCTCTCTACTTTTCTGTGTGACCTATTGGACTCTTGATGTCCCTGGGAACAACATTGGGGTCTGTTGTCTTCATTTATGTCCTCAAGGCTTACTGTAGTACCTGACAGATAGGTGGTACTTAGTAGTATATATTTATTGAATCAGTGAGTGGTGTACCTATGGTTACACCAGTCACCATCGTCTCTCTCCTTTTCTCATATTCTCAATATTCTGTAGGAGTTCCCTTTGGCCATCCCACATTTCAAACACTTTTTTTGTGTGTTTCTGTCTGAAATATGTAGAACATAAAGTTTGTCATTTGGGGGAAGTGGCATTCACTATATTGTACAACCATCCCTAGTATCCATCTTTAGAACTTCATCATCATTCCATAATCTCTGTACTTCTTAAATAATACTTCCTTATTTCCCCTTCCTCCTGTCCTTTAGCAGCTTATATTTTCTGTCTCTGTGAATTGTTCTATTCTAGCTACCTCAGTCAGGTAAGTGGAGTCATAAAGTATTTTTCCTTTTTGTGTCTGGCTTATTTTCCTTAGCATAATGTTTTCAAGGTTCATCCATTTTACTGAATATCAGAATTTAATTTTTATTTATAGTTGAATACTATTTCATTGCAGGCCTGCCACATTTAAATTCTTTCATCTGTTGTTGGATACTTGGATTGTTTCCACCTTTTGGCTATTGTGAATAATACTACTATGCACCAGGGTGTTACAAGTGTCTGGAGTCCCTGCTTTCAATTCTTTTGGGTATATACTTAGGAGTAGAATTGCTGATCATGTCAAACAAGAATTTTTATCTTGCTTGCCATATTTCTGATGTGCTAGTTGATGTGAAGGGCCAAAAATATATGAGATAGTCTTGACTATGAAGAACTTACCATCTGAGGAAAATGCTTACACATGGATCAGATGAAGAAAAACTAATTTTCATCTTAACCTGAAATCTGTCCAAAAAAGACTTTAAAAGGATAGAAGTTACTATTTAAACCATAAGCTTTTAAAAAATGGGCGTCTTATTCTCTGACACATCTTAGTTCACCAGCCACAATTTGCCATTTGTGATGGAAGAAAAGAATTAGGTAGAAGTGGCATAAAAAGGCTTTGGGACAGAAGTTTGATCCCTGTCCTGTTTTACCAAAATCTGTTAAAAAATTTTAGAATGTAATTTTTTTTTAAAGCTTTATTCATCTTATTTTTTTAAAGTTTTTATTTATGGCGGTGCTGGGTCTTCTTTGCTGCGTGGGCTTGTCTCTGTTTGCAGGCTTCTCATTGTGGTGGCTTCCCTTGTGGAGCACAGGCTTTAGGGTGAGCGGGCTTCTGTAGTTGAGGGATGCACAGTCTTAGTTGCTCCGTGGCATGTGGGATCTTCCCAGATCAGGGATCTAACCTCTGTCTTCTGCTTTGGCAGGCAGATTCTGTACCCCTGAGCCACCAGGGAAACCCAAGGATGTAATTTTGACATCATTTTTCTTGAAGTCCACAATGGCTTTCTTGTCTGTCTAGAAGAATGTCTCCTGGTTCTGGTCTCTCCACTTAAGTGTCTTGTGATGTTGACTAGTTTACTTAACCTTCCTCAACTGAACTTTCTTGTCTTCCTTAAAAGTGTACTTTTCCACGATTATAGGATAGGCAAATTCAGGAGTTTATTCTGTGCAGTTTTGTGCCTTTTAATATTTTCTTTATTTTCTA